CAACGCGGCACAGATAAATATAGACAGATCTATGGGTTGATGAGTCGACGGTGAAATTGTATTTAGAAAGTCAGCTGTCGAGCAATAATAATAGACGATCAACTGGTCAATAAGCCAACACGGCACAGATAAATATAAACAGATCTACGGGTTGATGAGTCGACAGTGAAATTGTATTTTAGATTATATAGTTAAATATATGTTATTTTTTAACCTGTCAAATTGCAAAAAATTAATCTTCCAAGCTTGTTTTTGCTATATAATTCTAATAGTTTACAATGTTTTCAAATCTAATAACCTTTCAATACTAGTACTAAACATGTTTACTATGCATATCAGTTTTGAGAGGTTTAATAGTAATGTATTAATTTCAAGACAAATTAATTGAAAATGATAAAGAACATATACAGTTATATAAAAAAATTAGTGTGAATTTATAAAATTGTAATTCTCTGTTGTTGAAAACCCAGAAAACAATAACAATAAATATACACAAATGCATAATTCTAGAAATTTTAAATATACAGTCAACTCTTTAAATTAAACATAAATAACTAAATATTTAACTTTAGAATTTTAGTTAGAATAACCGGTGGTGATCATCACCGGTGTATAATTAGCCAATACCGATAAACCAAAAAAAGATTTTATTTCGTTTACTTTAGGGTTAGGGTGAGGCCTGATATTTTAGCAAGGTGTTAAATATATGCAAAATTATTGTTGTTACATCAATTGATTTGCACGTTACACCTGATCCTGCAAATCTATTGGCTAATTATACACCTGTGATGATCACCACCTGTTATAGTTACTAAAATTCTTAACTTTATATATCTAAAATACAAAATTTTAAAACATTTATAATTTTTATTAATAAATTTGGTTTAAGATATAGTAAAACTTTTTAAACTGAACAATTAAAAAATTTAACATATAGAATGGAAATATTACATGCAAAAAGTTAACTGTATATAGATTAATCGAATACTTGAATATTTAAAGTATTATAGTTATTAAATTGCAGTAAAGTAGCCAAATTGTCATTGTAATTTCTATCCAAACTTTAAATATTAAGTAACGATAAGGCAAGCTGAAAATTGGAACATATCAATTTTCAGATAATATAGTAAACAAATATTTTATATAATAATAGAAGCACTAACTCTTACCAGAATGTAGACCTTTGTAAAAATAACTATCTTAATAACATTTCTGTTCGTAACAAAAAATCACAATTACAAGTACCCATGAAATAAATATTAATAAATCAAAATCATACAAGAAAAAAGTTTATTCATCATCCCTAATCATTATTTCCATTATAAAGAGTATATCCAGTTATATCCTGAATAATTTCATATGGTAGAGCAGCAGTAAGTTGGGGACTTGAAGTAACTTGTATGCCAAATAGATCTACAAGACCCAAATTCTCTGGAGTATAAAGAAATACAGGACCACCTA